CAAACTTTTACAAAGAGAAGACTTTCCCCTGAGTAGGGCTGCCAGATTTCGCAAATGAAATGAGAATACAGAATACCCAGTTACATTTGAATTGTAAACAACAAATGATTTTTTTTAAGTATAAGTATATCCCATGAAATATTTGGGACATACTCATACTAAAATAGTATTCCTCATTGATCCGAAGTTCAAATTTAACTAGATGCCTTGTATCTTATTTGGCAACCCTAGTCCTGGGGAACAGGAATAGCTCCTTTTAAAAGCACCCCTCTATCATCCCTCCCATTCCTGTGCACATCCCAAGGGGGCAGGAGGAAGTCTCGGAGGAAAAGACCTTCTTGTAGACTGTCTGTCACCTCTCAATTTGAGAGAAAAGCAAGAAAAAAAAAGTTCTTTCCTGACCTTTGTTTTCATTTTTAATGTATTATTTTATTGAATGTTATCATTATTAAATTCCTAAAACCGGATATTAGTGGAAAATTACTCCTCTTGAATGATAATCTTGGGCACTTGAGCCATTCCCTCTGCTTACTTCCTGCCAGATACCCCAGTTGGTTTCCCTGGCTTGTCCCTGTTTTGTCCCATTCCCTTTATTTGAGGAGGTTAATAAGTAACCTCTGTGAAAATCCAGCCGGAGGAGCCTTGCCTCAGATGATTTTCACCTCACCTTTTATCTGTCTCCCTGTCCCTGGTCCCTGTGCTCTCTCCCCATCCTCAAGGGACAATGACCCTGGCTCATGGCTACTGGATTCTCCTTCCACCTTCCATGTCATCACAGGCTCCACTTTCCTGTCCGTACGGAGTTTTGGCTGTTTTAACACGTTTCACAGCCAGATGACTCCTCCTCTCTGTTCCCTACTCCCTCCAAAAACAAAAACAAAAACAAAATTTTAGCGGCGCATTGGCTGTTTGGCCCTTGCTGGCCAACACACAGACTTGGTTTAGTTAGATCACAGAATGTGCCCCTTGTCCTGAACTTGATTGTGACGTTAATGATAAGTACACAGGAGGAGCTGGTTTCTAGTTGGAGCTGTTATGTCCTAAAGGCTCTTTTTCCCTTCACTACCAGCGCACCCACTTCGTGTTCTCCCGCTTTCCCAGTTTTCTCCCACCCAGTTATCATTTCCTGGCTACTAGAAGACCAGCGAGAACACCAGTAAACTGTACCCTGGCAACAAATTCTGGATAACCATTTATCTGTACAACAGACCCTTGAAGTCATCTTTCCTTCAATTTTCATGGAACCAAGACTAAAAGTTTTAGGTTTCTGGCCCTGGTATAGGTTTCCAAACATCCGTGGCTCCTCTTTCCCAGAGGGAAGCTGGACTTGGCGACTCCAAGAACAACAGTTCCATAAGGATCCAAAGTGCCCTGCCTCTTCTGATCCTTTTTGGATTTACCTGAGACCAACCATGCCTCAGCTAAAACTCATTCAGCCACTAGAAATAAATGCGCCATGAAGGTTTAGCATCCCTGGGTCGCTGAGGCTCTCCATTAGCCAAATAAAGAGAAAGCAAATAATATATATCCCTTGAATGATTGTCTAACCCAGAGGACCTACTTGCTCTTTTGTTACTCCGCCCTAGAGCCCCTAAATATGCTGGCTTTGAGGGAGAGAGAGATTGCTTTCAGCAAATAAAGAGCCAACTTTTGACTGCTAAATGTCATTTTTCTTGTGACCCTTGAGAAGTCCATAGCTCATTTGGGACTGGTTGGATATCAAAGCAAAAATTGATTTACCAGTACTTGCGACTTGCACTCTAGAATGTGGGTTAGCAATCTGCAGCCATTAGGTCAAATCCAGCCTGCCCGCTGTGTTTTGTAAGTAAAGTTTTGGTGGAACGCAGTTAACACTCATTCATTTACATGTTGCCTGTGGCTGCTTTCGTGCTACAATGCAGAGTTGAGTAAATGCAACAGAGACCATACGGCCCATGAAGCCTAAAGTATTTACTGTCTGGCCCTTTACAGAAGGAGTTTGCCAACCCCTGCTCTGGAAGGATGGTTCTCAGCCCTGGTTGCTTATGAGAGTCACTTGGAGAGCTTTATAAAAATACTGGTATCTGCAAGTCAGGGTAGAACCCAGGCATCGGCGTTTTTTAAAGTGATTCTGATTCGCAGTGAGAGTGGCTGTCAGCACTCCTGAGATGAGAAAGGCACAAAAAAATTGCATCATGCCCCCTCTCCCGTCTTCCTCCCCCCACGAGTGCACACGTATGCTCATACGCACACGTGTGTAACCGCTCACACCCACACCTTGTCTGCTCCCTGCCCTACCCTGGGGTTCCGGGAGTTGCAGCTCTGGAAACCTGCTCCACCAGCCCAATGAGAAATAAGTAACATGTGGGAGAGCCAACGTCAGCCCGGGGCCTGGAGCTGAAACCTGGCTTTGCTAGAATTTCTCCTTTTGACTCACTGAGCATTGGCCACTTTCAGCAGGGTCTGCTGTGCGTGTTCTCCAGAGTTAGGGGTTCTTTCCTGCCTCCACTACCCGCCCTAGCTAGTCCTGCTCCAGAAATGGGGTCCAGCCTGCCCTCCCACTGTTCAGCTCTTACAAGTCAGGTTTAAACTTGGCACAAGGTGAGCCCACGAGAAGTGTGTTTTTTCCAGGCTTATGGCTGTTCTCTGCATATTTCTCGTTTCTGCTCTGGTGACCTTTGCAACTTTTCCACCTCGTGTTTTGCCATCTGACTGCCTTGTCAGGCTCTTCCCGTGAGAGAAGGCTCGGTGGCTTGCAAGGAAGGGGGAGGAAGAGAGATTAAATATCTTTCAGAGGGTTTTTAAAAAATGCTAAATAAACTGCTTTCCCCCAGCACACCGTTCCGGAAGGCAAAAGCCTTATATGCCTGCAAAGCGGAACACGACTCAGAGCTCTCATTCACGGCAGGGACGGTCTTCGATAATGGTGAGTTTCTCAAATAAATCCCTGGAGTTGTCAAAGTTCCTTCCTACCTAAGGAAAATCTCAACAGAACAGGTAAGACTAAAAAGGAGCATGGGGTGGGGTGGGGTGTCTTTTCCCAAAATAACAGAGCAGCGGCAGAGCTTTAGGAGCCACTATCAAAAGAGGACGAGTGAAAAAAAAAAAAAAAAAAGGACAGGTGGGTTTTTAAAAAATGCTAAATAAACTGCTTTCCCCCAGCACACCGTTCCGGAAGGCAAAAGCCTTATATGCCTGCAAAGCGGAACACGACTCAGAGCTCTCATTCACGGCAGGGACGGTCTTCGATAATGGTGAGTTTCTCAAATAAATCCCTGGAGTTGTCAAAGTTCCTTCCTACCTAAGGAAAATCTCAACAGAACAGGTAAGACTAAAAAGGAGCATGGGGTGGGGTGGGGTGTCTTTTCCCAAAATAACAGAGCAGCGGCAGAGCTTTAGGAGCCACTATCAAAAGAGGACGAGTGAAAAAAAAAAAAAAAAGAGGACGAGTGGAATCACCTCCTCACTGTGACAGAGCCAGTGTCATCGAGGTGTCGTGGGCATTAAATGGGATGGTACCTGCACAGGCTTTGAGCATCTGGGGGCTGGACGGAGGGAGGAGACAAAGGAGTGAGAACGGGGATCCTGCAAGTGGTCAGAAGCTCAGGCAGGAGGCTAAAGCCGCAGGGTCTATGCCCAGCCTCGGGTTCGGTGGGATTCACTGTCCACGGCAGGAGAGGCCTGTTTCTGAGACGGTGGGGTGTTGGGTGAGCTCCGGGCAGATAAGCTGTGCTGCATTCC